AGATTGAATCCATTGCAGAATGCTTAGGTTGCAATATTTCTTCTTGGCCTTTGACATACTTAGGGCTACCCTTAGGAGCCAACCCTAAAGAAAGTAGTTTCTGGGCCCCTATTGTGGAGAAATTTGATAAGTGCTTGGCGGCTTGGAAAAAGAATTACAATTCAATAGGGGGTAGGCTGACTTTAATTAAGGCTACACTTGCCAACCTTCCAAGGCACAAAACATATGCAAATATTATATGTGGATTATTATATCAATTATTTTTTATTTTACTATTTTTAATTTTTATCATTAACAAAAAAGTAAACTAAAAGTAACTATCAAATGTTTGGTAAATAACACTTTTATTTTTATAAACAATAAACATGTTATTAAGATATCAATTAATAATTTATACAAATATATAATCTTAATTTAAAATATATCAAATATGTTAAAATTTCTAAGATACATATCATATGCAAATTCTTAAATTTTAATTACTAAAATAATTATTTCATTATTAATATTTTATTTTTATAAATTTTATGAAATAAAAATTATTCTTTGATATAAAAAGTAGATTAGTGAATTTGACAAATTTAATTTATATTATACTCTTGAGTATTTTGTAAATAATATTTTATTTTTATAAATAATATATATGTTTTTATTTAATTCAAATTAAAATATTAATTAATAATTTATAAAATTTTAAGATACATATTATGTTCAAATTTATAAATATTAAGTAATAAAATAATTGTTCTATTAAGTTCCAATACATATTATCTTTATTTGTATAAATTTCTTGAGATTAGAAACCATTTTTTGATATAAATGTGGAGTTGAGAAATTATTTATTCTATTAGTTTACGGAATACTAGTGTTGAATATTATCTTTTTTATTTAGTTAGATTTGTTGAACACAAATGTGGACATTGGAATTGATAAAATATTATTTTGTTTCATTTATCAACAGAAGGTGAAAGGTGGGCCTAATGGATCAAAGCTTTAGTGCTGGGTGGTGTGGGTTCGATTTATTGCATTTGCGTTTTTTACGTGTAAACATGCAAGTGCATTGATCTGTATCGTCCCGTATGGGTGCGGTCGACTGATATATTACGATACGGGCCGATACGAATGCGTATAGATTCGGCACGCACGACTCAGATGATATAGGCATAGTTATAGCATTTCCTGTATCACCCTTGGTCAATACTGATATGTTACCCCTGTATCGGATGTATCATATCGATATTTAAGTCCTTGTTCTATGCTAACATAGACTTGCTTCCCTACAGCCAACACCTGTATATTTTATTTCCTAAAAATAACCATCTTAAAATTTCGAATGCCAAACCAGAAATGTAATCATCATCAATCATGTTTCACCGTTCCATTCTGTTCAGTGACACATCTATCGTTAATGATTTCTTTTTACCTCCAACCAAGCCCTTTTTTTTGATGAATTCCAAGTCCTTTTTGTTTTTTTGCTCATTCTTTTGTCAATGTTAAAATTCACAGTTGAATGCATAGAAATTTGAATTTTGGTAAGCTTTTTTTCTCAATTTGGAAGTTTACAATTGAAACTCAGCTAATACATTCTCTTATGTAGAATGCATTGCGACAGCAAAGATTTGTTCGAGAGGTCACCATACAGTACAACCTATGCAATGAACCTTGGTATACTTCAACTCTTCTCCAATAGTTTTGTTTTGTTCACTTTTCGTTTTTTTGTTTATATTTATGGGTGGGGGTGGGGATTGTTCTAATGAATGTGGTTTCCTTAAACAACTTTGGCTCCAGGTCTTGCTAGAATGCACCATCCTGGCCTTCTGATCTCATCTATATTTGGGCAGTCTGAAAGTTTTTACAACACCAATCAATTGGATGGTTTTAGTCTTCTTAACTTTTGTTTCTGGATCTATGGCCCAAGGGATGCTCTATAACTAGAAGGTCTAGAGTGGACAGTTACCTAGCTTACAATTGTGGATATGGTGTTTTTTTTTTTTTCCACAGATCTTAGGTGCTTCGTTTTGTTACAGTTTTTGTTCATGAAAAAAGTTGGTTTTCAAGAGGGAGAAGCAAGGGGCACATGGCTCTCTTTTAGATTGCAGGTAGGTGGGACTTGGTAGGGTCTGTAATTGGGTTCTCCTTGCCAGTCTGGAATTCCTTGGTTATTGGAAGCTATGATCTCTTGTGGTTGTTTTCATGCTTCTTGTTTGGGGCTTCAGGGGCTGAATTTAGTTGGGTTTCTCTTGTCTATTCTAGGCTTTTAGGCCTTACTTGAATGTTGGGGCCCAGGGTCAGAGGATTTTACTTTTTTTTTTCCAGTCTCATCCTTTCTTGCACATCTTGTATACATACTCTCTTACACTTCCAATGAGTATAATATCTGCCACTGATCTAGAAAAGAAATGTTTTCATGAACTCACTTTTTGTGGTATTGAGGTCTGTTTCAGGATTAAATACAGTATAAGCATAGTTGCTGATAAAGGATTGAAGAAGCCCCTCTATACTTCTGCACGCTTGAAGAAGGGAGAAGTTTTGTACTTAGAAACACATTCAAACAGGTTTTTATATATCATTGTTTTCAATATATGGCTAATGACTGTATTTATTATTTTGAGCTTTTTTTTTTTGTATGCAACAAACTACATAATCAGTGACTGTTAGCTATTTGTTGTAGTATGAAGTTTAGGATTAGATTGTTGCTTGCATACCAATGCAAAGAACAAAGTGAATTGGCCAACATAGTCATGAGGCTCAGAATCAAAATTTTACATTAATTTTACAAGGGGTTCAATCAATCCCTCTGGTGTGACCAGTGATCAGCTCCAACCCATTTGGTTAGACATATATTTGACATATAGCTTGAAGCCATATGCATATAAAAGGCCATAAAGGCCCATTACCCAATGTTGGTCCCAGCCATCTGGGGTCTGGGGAGGGGTAGATTGGGTACAGTCCTAACCTATGGCATATGCATATTAATGCACATAAATACGTGCCTTTCAATCAGATTGTCTGATGTTTTTGCTCTTATACTTCCTTGCTTCTCTAAACCATCGTCCCATATACCTAATTTGTGCCCGTGCCTTTGTACTCAGTGCCTGTTAGCTCTCTCTCTCTCTCTCTCTCTCTCTCTCTCTCGCTCTCTCTCTCTCTCGCTAAGGCTATTCTGTTGTTTCTTGGACTGATTCGGACAAATTAAAGTGACCATTTGCTCTACAAGGTCCTAGACAACTAGAGGTGAAACAGTTCCAAGTTTCACAGGCATAGGTCAATTCTCAAACCTAGCAAAGTAAACATGTGTTAAGAAACTGTTCAAAATGCCTCTTCTGTTCAGATGCTTTCCATCCACATTATTTGGTCCACCACAAAATCTAGTTTTACAGGCCTGGGTCAATTCTCAAACCAAGTTGAATGATGTTCTTACCGAGCAAAATGTCTGGTCAGCTTAGATGCTTTTTGTTGCTGTTCCATCGTTTTTACCTGTTTATCTTATGCATTATATGGTAATTCTAAGCAATATTTCTTGCAACTTGTTGGTTAATGGTAACAATGAGTAATATTTCTCGCAATTTGGCAGTTTTCTTATATGGATTCTTTTGTTTTAATTTAATGTTGCTAAACTAAAGAAATAGTTAAAAGCTCAATTAAAGTTTTGAAACATCAATATTATGCAACAACTATATAATAAATGAGCACACCAAAATAAAACTCAGTTCAAATAGTACTTTTATATAGCATTTACAATCTGTCAAATCCATGAGATTTGCTTCACATTCTTGCTCATCCATAAATTTGTGCTAATCTCTCTTTCTCTCTCTCATTTGCCCATCAACTTCTTTCTGGATGGCTGAAGGTACGAGCTTTGTTTCAATGGGGAGAAAATGATCAGTGCAAACTCTCAGGCAATGGAAGGAGAGACAGAAAAACATCAAACTCATAATTCACATGCCCAAAATGGTGAAAGAAGTGTGGACCGTGAAACAATGACTGTCAATGTATTTCGGTGGTCTCACTGTAAGAAACCCCTTCCCCAAAAAGTCATGAGAACAATCGGTATCCCACTGCCCCTTGAACATCTGGAGGTACTCTCTCTTGATCCTTCAATCCTGACACTTATCCTGAGCATATGGGACTTTAAACACACACACACACATATTCAGATGTACAAAAGAGAAATCATTTTTACAATGTATGAAGAAAATGCATCCTTTTTGTGGAGATGGGAGGTTCTGTCATGACAAGTCGAAACTTAAGCTGCCTCTCAGACCAGCTGGTCATTCATCTGGCTTACATGCAGGATGCAGTCGTATGTGTTTTGAACCAAACTAGTGCTTAACCTGCCTAGGTGGGTTGCCTTGGCCAAAAATCAGCCCTCCTTGGTGAACTATCTTCATTATCAAGTCAAATTTTTGTTGAGTAAACAGTAGGGGAATTTCATGTTATCAGATTGACCAACTCATTTGTTTGGATGGTGGTGACTTTGCCATTTGTACTTCATCATTGAATGTTGTAAACCCAGCCAACAGAAAAAATGGAAATTTATTGGAGTGCATTATCAAGGGAAAATGTAAGGGGACGAAAAGAGTTGCTGTTAACTCTGTATTAGCCATCCAGTTTGCCTTGTGGGGTGACTATGGTCCAGTGCTTTTCACTAAACCTACTGATACTTACAATCAAGTTAGCTCAGGTTGACAGTTGTTTTGCCAAGTGTTCTGTTTCGTTGGCCTGGCCGGTCCTGAACTTTTTCTTTTGACAGGTATTGGAGGAGAATCTCGACTGGGAAGATGTGCAGTGGTCACAAACTGGTGTTTGGATAGCTGGAAAAGAATACCCACTTGCACGGGTGCATTTTCTCTCCCCAAATTAGACCAAGTTGTGATACTTATGTATGTACAAGTAAATTATGTATAATGCATATGTTGACGCCCTTTTCTGTCTTCTTTATCCTGTTTTTTTTTTCTTTTTCTTTTTCTGTTCTATGGATGCCAGGGGGGGGGGGGGGGGGGGGTTTTTTTTTTTTTTTTTTTTTTTTTTGGGGGGGGGGGGGGGGGGGGGGGGTTGTGTTATGTTTTATTACTTATTATTACTAATATTTGAAGTTGAAATTTCAGAAATTTAATTTAAGTGTTGTGATGTACTAATTTAATAATTGACATATCTAACAGCTAAGAACACTCATCAGGTGTAAATGAGTCGAGCCAAGCCAAATTCAAGGCATATTTTGAGTTTTTTTTTTTTTTTTTGTGCAATTAAAATTTCAAGTGTTAAAAAAGTCGAGTACATCAGGAGAAACCCAAACAGATTCATGTTGAATTCCCCTAAACCTTGTAGCGAAAGTATGAGAAATCAAATTTAAATCATCAAAACAAGTAGCAACGTTCATATAATGTCAGATATAACTGGTTGGGCAGCCCATGTAGAAGAGAGCAATGTCCCTTGCAAGGCAGTAATTACATTGAGATTGGCATTTACCACAGATTTTTTGATGATGAAATGCCGAGCGATGCTTTAAAGCAGACAGAATATCCATGCTTCCACACCTTCAACATCACAAAGAGGAGATGGAGTAACTCCTGCCTTGATGAACATATTATTTACGTCAGTAATTACCCATGTAGCAGAATTGGATTCATCTCTGATAGCAACATCAGTGTAAATAATGACATCCGCCTCAGTAGAGACACAGTTTGATTCTTTACTCCTATACGTGTGTTGAACCCCCACATCCTCATGTATTGTTGTTTGTAGAATATTACCTCATTCCCTACAGAAACGGTACACACGCTGAAGTACTTCCATTGGCTGAGCCAAATACCCTTGGAAAATGCATTTGTTACGAGTGTCTTAGATCTTCCACAACAGTCATGAAAATTAGGTCAGACATCATCTCCTCATAATGACCCTGTGCACCAATCACAAAATTTCGAAACCAATCAGCAATATTTATATTTGAAAGTTGATATGGTCTCCATGATAAAGAAGACCCAAACCAAATAGTTCTACAAAATGAATAATACCAAAATAAATGCTTTGATGATTCAATGTGGTTACACCCAAAAGGGCATAACGGTCAGGCTTTACACCAAAAAGCTTATCCTATGCATGCAGTCCTCCATGTAAGAATTTCCATAAAAATAATAAAATCGTTGGGTAAATCTTCAATTTCCAGAACCTCCTCCAAAATGCACCATTTTGAGAGTCAATTGAAATAGAGCATAGATGTTTGTAGGCAGATTTTACAGAAAAAATACCCTTACGCTCCAAGGTCCACAACCAGCCATCATCACCACTTGATCTAGTAGATATAGGAATGTTTTGAATTAAAATTAGATCAAAAAATCTATGAAGAAGACCCAATCTCCATCATTGGTTAGAGCCAAGATCACAAACTATACAAATGCCATCTAAAACACTAATAGGTGGGATTTGTAATTTGAAATTTGGTTGAAAGGGGACCCATGGATCACCCTATATACATACAAAATGTCCATTGCCCACCCGATGCGCACGGCCCCCACGTAATACATCTCTTGAGCGACAAATGCCTTTTCACACCCAACAGTCATTTTGTTTAGGATCACAATCCAGAAACACATTATTGACAAGTGAAATAAGTTACTCAAGCAAAATGATTATTAAGATACTATTCCAAGCTTTCAACCAATCTATTGGACTATACAACCTACGGGTGTAAATGAACCGAGACAAACCGAACTTAGGCATGTCTTGGTCAGATTAAAAAACCATTATATTTGAGTTCTAAGCTCGAATTCTATTTTCTGGTTTGAACTCGGTTCAATTAAACATACGATGAATTTGAATACAAATTGAAAGTTTGAAAAATTAAAATATTTCTATATTTTATTAATATGTACTATATATATACATAAACCAAGTCAGTCCAACATGTCTCTTTTTTCAAATCCCCTTTCCTGTTTCTTCATTAAGTCTTCTTTTTCCTTCTCAGCTCTCACTAAGCCAAGCCAACACCCTTCTCTCCATTCCTCTCCCTTCCCATTGGACTCTCACTCTCTCTCTCTCTCACGAATCTTTATCTCTATGCACATGACTTCTTAATTAGCTCAATATATGTTTTGCTGTAATATCTCTCCTAAATTATCTCTAACTCCTATTTATCCTTTCTATTTTTATTTCCAACTCTGCTCTATTCTTTATACTTTACTATAAAGATAGGGCCCTAGCTTAGTAAGATTTGGTTCCCCAAATCAAACAATATCTATATCTCTACTACTTACGAATGAGGAGGTATTGGCTTTTAGAAATTTTTTTTACTAAAATACCCCTCCTCTTGAATTTAGTTCATCTCCATTGAAAGGGTAGAAAATGTAATTAAAAGAATACTATTAAGTACATTCAATTACCTCTCATTAAGTCTCACATTTAAGTCATTAAATAAATCAAATTCTATCTCATTGAATCCAACATTTATACTTTTGTTTATCATCATTAAATTTCACTAATAAATCCATACACAATAAGTATTAATAGAATGAAATTTCATATTTTTGAAATAAATATAGAAATGAAATCATATTTTTCATCTAGGTGGTGGGTAAGTAGTTTTAAATGGATAATTTCATATTGTTATGAATAAATGATACACATTTAGAAATATAAAAAATACTTTTGTTTATCATCATTAAATTCCACTAATAAATCCATACATAATAATTATTAATAGAATAAAATTTTATATTTTTAAAATAAAGCTAGAAATGAAATCATATTTTCCATCTAGGTGGTGGATAAGTACTTCAACCATTTGGGTCAAATGAATAATTTCATGATATCATAAATAAATAATATAAATTTATAAATATAAAAAATACAAAAAAAATATTGAAAAAAAAAAACTGGACACATTTCTATTATTATATATTTGTCATATTAAAAAATAAGTATGCTAAAATAGACATAATTTTATTAATAAATGACATCAAACATACAACTTAAAACCAATGGGAAATTAATATATAATAATAGGTTAACCCATGATGTATAATTAAAAATATTTTTTTAAAATAGAATAGTACAAAAAATATGAAACAATTTTGGGCACATCTATAATATTATATACTAATAATATAAACAAAAATAAGTATGAAAAACAATAATTATTTTATCAATGATATAAATGAAATACAAAATTTAAAACCAGTTTGAAAATGAAACAATTTCCATATCTAGATGGTAAGTAGGTCAATGATCTAACATTCCGGGTCAAATGGATCAATCTATGATGTCATAACTAAGTAACTAATATTAAATAAACATACATGCATACATATGTACATACATAACATACATATATATACATACATACATACATACATACATACATACATACATACATACATACATACATACATACATACATACATACATACATACATACATACATANTACATACATACATACATACATACATACATACATACATACATACATACATACATACATACATACATACATACATACATACATACATACATACATACAAACATACATAAACTCAAAGAAAAATATAAGCTTTGTATAAAGCATTTTGATACAGTTCTATTGTTATGCATTCACCATATTAAACAACAATAAATGTGAAAATAAGAATTACTTTTATCGATGATGAAAATGGAATACATGATTTAAAATCAACCGAAAAAGCAAAATGGTTTTTCCATCCAAGTTTTGGGTTAGTGGTTAAACTATCCATGTCAAATGGATAAACACATGATGTTATTATTAAATAATAAAAATAGATAAAATTCTAGATAATGTAGAAATGTGTTGATTATTTTGGGTATATTCTATAATATTATATATTCATCATATAAAAAAGTGTGATTAATGAGAATTATTTTCATTAACGGTAGAAATGGGATAAAAAATTATGATAAAAAATAAAGAGCATTAATGTCTAACACATTACCTGACTAACCATGCCAAATGGTTCACTAATTTAATTAGCTAGGTCATCGTAGGCAAGTGGCTTGGTAGGGATGCAAATAGATCATATCATATTTGAATCAGGGTATATTCTAATATGATATGATCCAAAGATTCGACCGGATCTAATAAATATTGATTTGGATCCAAATCCGATCGAGATGTCGGATATTTGAATATGATACGATCCGATTTGTTTTTTGTAAAAAATAATAAATTATTAAAATAAAAAGAAAATATAACAGTTGAAATAAACAAACAAAAAATATAAGTATTTTTTCAACTATTTCCATCATATAAAAAGTTTACAAAAATGCAATATAAATAACACATATATTATTTATAAATAATATATATATATATATATATATAATTGATTTGACCATAATATTAAAAACTAGTGTTCAAAAAATATATTGGATTTGCATTTCCTTTTGGTAAATAAGTAATTTTTATTATCTCATAAATTAAATAATAAAATATAGAATATAGAATTTTTTTATAAATATTATAAAAAATTTGAGCATACATTTTCTTCATATTAAACAAAAATATGTTTGAAAAAATGAGAGTTATTGTTAGTAAAGATAGAAATGGCTAAAATACAATGAATAAAAATGAATTAATGTCTTAATCATAGTCTATTTTCTTGGTTAAACAGGGTAACAGTTCAACCAATAAGGTCATTTGGTTATTGATTGTTATCATCATCATCATTTGATACTACCACGTGCAAAAATAAATGTGAAAATAAGAATTACCTTTATTGATGATGAAAATGGAATGCATGATTTTAAACCAACCGAAAAAGAAAATTGGTTTTTCCATCCAAGTGGTGGGTTAGTGGTTCAACTATCCATGTCAAATGAATCAACATATGGTGTTATTGTTAAATAATAAAGTACATAAAATTATAGAAAATGTAGAAATTTGTAGATAATTTTAGGTACATTCTATAATATTATATATTCAT